GTAGAATCTCCACCATCCGAATCCATGGTTAGTTCAAGAAATCTACCATATGGTGTGGCCTAAATAAGATAAGGGAGGGGGGGTTTCGCTTATTTGGGCCACAGTGTGGCCTAAATAAGGTAAGGGAGGGGGGGTTTAGCTTATTTGGGCCACAGTGTGGCCTAAATAAGGTCACCCATTATCAATATATTTCCTTGTCAGTCATTGGCAATCAAGAATGTAAAGATCTTCTCGTTGTTAGTATAGACCCAAAGCCTAAATACTAGACCTAAATAAGTTAGTAGGCCTACAGCCTACCTCTTGTAAGATCTAATTATGGGCCTACTATAAATTTAGCTAGTGGCTATTCTCCGGCGTCGCGTCCGTCAATAGATCGATGGCTTTTCTCCGGCCTCACGTATAGTTGCACATGTCTCTTCTCCACAGCTTTCCATCTCACCTGTCGGCACATTATTGATATTATATCTGAGTTCAGTGCCAGATGCGCCTTTGTACTTCTGGTTGTGACCGAGGGTTATTGGCGCTTTTGGGACTGTCACCTCTGACACAGAAATTCCTCCTTCTTCAGTCACTGGAGCTATTATTGAGTAGTGGCTGCGTGTCTGCCTATGATGAATCGCATTCTGAAGAAATACCGACCCTGATGAGTGTTTGTGTAAGGCCATTATAACGTGCCAACAGGGGGGATGGAAAGGTGTGGATAGAAGAAGCTCCAGCCATCCATCTATTGACCGGCGCAACGCCGGAGAACAGCCATGTGCATAAATTTTTAATGTGATTTTTCTATATCAAAATATGGGTCCTACTAATAGCCGTCCGGAGCCGTCCGGAGGCCATAAATCTCTTACAGGTGCTGCACAGCCTGTTACGTGCGGACCACCTACATTCACAAAACCTTTGCTGTCTTTAGTTGGTAGATATCTCTAACCCTTTTACACCTGGGTGGGGTGAGAAATGGAGGGGGGGATGGCAGGTTGGGAGAGAGCATGAAAACAAAAGCAGGTTCCACAATTTCTAAACTGAGAAACGAAAAACAAACGATCAGAGATTGTTGGTCTGCTTCGCCCAACTTCCGGTTCATAACAAATCAGTTGTCCTCACTAAAAAGTCAATTCCGTTCAGTTTTATGATTTAAGGCCCGTTTTGTTAACAAACAAAAAATTAGAATCTACTTTTTAAAAAATTTTTATCGTAGTCGTAACTCAAAATTATTTTTTTTAATAAGTCGACAGACGGCAATTAGATCTAGATCTAGATCTAGATTCTAGATCTAGATCTGTACACATATAATAATCTAGATATAGACTGTAGATTTAATATCTAGATCTCTAGATCTAGAAGGACTGCAAAATATTGCCTGCTCAAACAATTGACAGGGGGCTCTCGTGGCCTAGAGGTTAAGGTGTCGGCCTCTCATTCAAAGGTCCTGGGTTCGAATCCGGGTAGCGATAGCGACCAAAAAATTTTCTTTGCTAAAATTGTCTCCTTTCACCTCCTCCTTTCCTGCTCTCTAGCAATGTTCCGTTGTCTGCTTTTATTTCCACTTTCTGCCCCCACCCCCTCACCTCCTTTGCCCCTTCCTCTGGGCTCCTGACTCTTTCTGCAGCCTTTCTACTGCTACTCCTTGGCTCCCCCTTACTGCTGTCTTTCTGCCACACCCCAGATCTTCTGGTAGGAAAGATCTACACCTACCCTTCTCGTACAAGGGCGAAAAATCTCGGAGGTCCCGTGTGCAAGTTGCGTACGTTAAAGATCCCTACTTTGGGTGGTCTAAAATCGATAAGTAGGCTTCGGCCGCCACCCGGGCAAAATTCAAAATTTCCGACCAACTGAAAATATTAGGTGTGTCCC